CCCCCTCTGCCTTTCACTTTGTCCTATAGAGAAACCCAAAGAATTTGTCTCTCTGAGTCCAAGGAGTTGGCCCCCTCTTTATAAACATAAGGGAGAACTAAGAGTTCGTGAAAGAACCAGAAGTTGGTTCTCTGTGATAATCTACTGTGGATCCACACCCTGCCCTGTTTTTGGAGATCCAGTGGGTCTGGGGAGGGAGGAGCTTAATAACGTTTTCTCTTCCTTGTTCAAAAACCTTATCGTGAAGCCTGGGGATGAGGCATTAAGCAGGGAGGACTTGCCCTCCATTTCCCCCAGTGCCCAGGCTGCTGTTTTTACTTAATATCAACTTAACTGGTGATTGTTTGGTTCCTGTACAAGCATGTCAAACTCAAAGGCTAACAGGGGCCAAATAAACGAGGCATGTGGCCCGCCGGCTGCGAGTTTGACATGCTTGCACATGGTGCTAAATGGGGGATCGGGGAGAAGCAGAAGTTGTGGCCCAACGGCTTGCTGTCATGGGCCTTGTGAGGAACTTGGAGCCTGGTTGCTGGCGTTCTGGGTCACAGCAGTTGGGCTGCCCAGGAGGCGGGTGCCAGAACAGCTCTCTAGCTGCCCCCGTGGAGAGAGGGAGGATTGTGCCAGGTGAGGGTGTTCTGCTGGCCAGCGCAGACATTTTTTATTGTTGTTGTTAATCCTCACCAGACGATATTTTTTTTCCATTGATTTTTAGAGAGAATGGAAGGGAGGGGCAGAGACACAGAGAGAAACATCGATGTGAGAGATACGTCCATTGGTTGCCTCCCACACGCTCCCTGATGGGGCCAGGGGATTGAGCCTGCAACGAAGGTGCATGCCCTTTACTGGAATTGAACCTGGGACCCTTCAGTCCTTGGGCCGATGCTCTAACCACTGAACACTAGTTAGGGCCAGCACAGACGTTTTTAATGAGGACACGGTAGGATCTGGGAATTGGTAAATGGTGGGGTTTTGCATTTTGCAATGCCAGCTCAGCTGTCTTCTCTGACCTTCTTGGAGGAGCAAGGGAGTAGTAGAGAGGGATCCAGTGGTGTGCTTCTTTTCATTGGCAGAGGCCCTGAGAACCTGAAAACATTCTGTTTGTAAACAATTCAAGCATGGCCAAAAGCTAAAGTCCACCTTAGACCTTCCCCTCCTCTGGCCTCCATGCTGCGTCTCAGTTCCTCTGCCACTTGACTTAATTAACCCCTGCGTTGCTGCCCAGGAGGAGGCCAGTGGAGGTGAAGGAAATGACCGAGTGCGGAACCTGCAGAGTGAGGTGGAGGGAGTCAAGAATATTATGACCCAGAATGTGGAGCGGATCCTGGCCCGAGGAGAAAACCTGGACCATCTTCGCAACAAGACAGAGGATCTGGAAGCCACAGTGAGATGGGGAGCCCAATGGGGACAAGAGGAAGAGAGGGAGGGAGGGTCTTTGGGAATTTGAGGGTTGGTGGTGTTGGGAGCAAAATGAACAGGAGGGAAGTCTGCCTCTTCACCTGTTTTGGGAATTGATGTTAGCCGAGTCCTCGCTTCTGATCCCGTTCTACTCCACCGATTGGTACGGGCCCAGGGAATAGGTCCAATGACCGGGGTTGGTGGGTGGGGGCTGACCCATGGAGGCGTTTTCTAAGAATCTAGGCACTCTTCGGCTTCTCTTCTGCGAAGTTGATTTTCCTTTTGAAAGCTGCCCTTGGCAGTCATTTGAACCTGATCTCCCCAGGGCAAAATATTGGCTTTGGAAAACCCTCTTAAGGCCCTTTGGCCTTCTCCGGGAGTTATTAGGCAGGGGGTGAAAACTGCTAGAGTCTTGCGGAGTCAGCTTTAAAAAGAAGCTGGGAAGAGCGGTGACATTCTTTGATGGGGTCCTGTGTGAGCTGAAGGCTAGAATAACATCTCCCACACATCTGCTTGACCTCATTCTTCTCTGTCTCCAGCCAGGTGCTCAGGAAGGGAGTTCCTCTAAAGTTCAGCAAAGGCTGAAGCCTAAGTTGCTTGTCCAAGGGGACACACTGGCTGGGGCTTTCTGAGTCCTATGTGTAATCTTGGGCACAGCTCTGTTGTCTCCTTGGGACTTAGTGCTTCTTTCCACAGCCTAACCTGGGGAGCATGGAACTTAGTTACTGCAACCCCAGTTTGGAGAGAAAGCACGTTCCCTCACTTCCAACCACCATATCGCCCCGGCCCCTCTCCTCCAACTTCAGCAGTCCCCAGGAGGCAAGGAATCATGGAACCCTGACTCTGTTCTCCTTGGCCCCAGTGTCTACCCTCCTAAGGGGTGGATTGCCCTGCCAGTGTCACACCCCTGGGTGTGAGCATGTGTGAAAGTCCCCACAATGTGCATGACAGTGCAGGGGTAAGAAGAGAAGGGGGTAGGCAGGTGGCCAGGGGGAGTCCAGGATTTCTAAATTTAAACTTGGCCCACCAGAGGGTTATGAAGGTATGTTTGTCAAGGTAGGAGGACAGGACATTTTCTATTTAGCAGTCTGTAACTTCAGCTGATCACTTAAATATGTAGGTGTATGGCGTGGGGGCCTGTATTTGTACTATTGTTCCAGTGGGAGGAGGAACTGAATCACTCTACCTTATCCCCTACAGTCTGAGCACTTCAAGACAACATCGCAGAAGGTGGCTCGGAAGTTCTGGTGGAAGAACGTGAAGATGATTGTCCTCATCTGTGTGATTGTTTTTATCATCATCCTCTTCATTGTGCTCTTTGCCTCTGGTGTCATTCCCTCTTAGGATGACACCACCCTGCCCTCCTCTTCGAGACATCCCTCCATGGTGGGCGTCAAGAAGGGCCCCCTCTCCCGTCCTTCTCCACAGGGAATGCTGCTCAGCCCTCTGCCCCTCACTCTGAGGCCCTCTGCTACATTGTCTGCCCCAGGAAGTACCTTGATCCCCTGGAAGGAGAGAGCTGGACTGTGGCCACATTCCCCAGGTCCTCGGGGTTGGTAGGAGAGTCCTGGAGAGCCCAGCATGAGGCTGGGACACTGATGGTGGCTGGTAGGCAATAAAGACCCTTCAGGATCCCTACGTTTGTGAGGTGCTTTCTCCTCTTGCATTCGGCCTTTGGCCCTTTTCTCCCTGAGCACACCCTGGATTCTCCCCTTTGTGGCCTGAGTTGTGGGAGGGGTGGAGAGTGCATGTTTGGAGAAGAAAGTTGAAGCCTCCCTGTTTTTCTTTATTCCCCCTTCTTCCGTTCATTGTCACAGGTCTCAAGAACAAAACTTTTCTGGGAGCCTTGGCACATGGAAATTTCAAAACCGTCGCAGCGTTTCGGGGTGGTGGGCCAGACTGCTAAGCGTCCCTCTTGGGCCTTGCCGTGTCGCTTGATTACTGTTCTGCTGGAAGCATTAACCGCGACATGAGGCCTACCTGGGCCGAGCACCCAGGAACCTGGTTAAGGGCCATCTGCCTCTCCCATCATTGCCATTTCTGTTCTGTGGCCCTGTTGTAGTCTAGGGCAGGGTTGAGAAGAACTGGACTGCTTTTCCTTCTCTTGTGGTTTTGCAAATTCTATTTGTCTTTTGTCTGCTCCTGTCCTTCTGGGACTGAGCAGGGACTCCGGGTCTCAGCTGACTAAGGGGGGTGAGCACAGTCAGTATCACAGGACAGGGCCTATGGCCCTCCTTCCCCTCCATGTACAATGGGACTCTGTCTTTGAGCCTCCCTCCTCCCCACCAGGTTCCATCGTCATTGTCACTCTTTCCTCTTTCCAGTGCCCAGTCTGCCTTGGTTTGGGGGAAGAGTTCTTGCTATTTGTCCCTATTACCCTCATAGGCTTTCCAAAATGGAAACTAACCTGTTCTGGGGAGGGAGGAGGAAAGCACAGAAGAGACTCACTGGTAATCTTTGCCACAACGATGTCCATCCTCTGTCTCCTCAGGCCCCTCCTAGTCTCCAGGGACAAGGAACTTGGCTGAAACCTCTTCCTTGGGACCCAGACTGTCCAGGATGAGGGTCAGGTCTGTGCTCACAGGGGCTCAACCCCAGGGAGGGAGCCCTCAACCCCTTTCTCAAGAGGGGCCACATTTAATATGTTGAGGGTGGCATGGGCTGGGGTGAAAAGGTGGCTGTTGACTTCTTTGCAGCCATGAGGAGAGCGCACAGATGGGGAGATTCACCTTCAGGAGGGCGCTGGAGGGGCAGTAAGCCACCAGCCTCGCACAGCCTCCGGGGAGCAGGATCCCATCAGGGCAGGGCTGCACTTGCCCTCCCGGGGAAATACAGAAAAGCTAGAGCTGCACCTTCTCCACGATGGTCTGTTTTCTTTTTCAATTGAGGTGAAATTCTCATAACATACAATTGAGCATTTTAAAATGTACAGTTCAGTGGCAGGTAGTGCATGCACAATGCTTCCTGTGAATAAACTTCCTTTAGTTTTGAAACTTTTGGCGCTGGCCGGGTAGCTCAGTTGTTCTCATATGCCAGGGTTGTGGGGGTTCGATCCCAGTCAGAGCAAATGAATGCAGAACCAACTAATGAATGCATAAACAAGTGGAACAACAAATCAATGTCTCTCTCTGTCTTTCAAATCAACTAATCAGTAAACATATCAAAGCTTTTGGGGGGGTCTGTTTATGGTTATGGGTGAGATGCACGCACCACGCTGGTGAAGACCCTGGAGACACCTAGCACAGTGCCTGACAATGGTGCTCCTACAGTCCCCCCTAGAATGAATGAATGCATCATGCCACCCCAGGTAAGCCCCGTCTACCTGATCTTGGAGGCAGTCCCAGAGATGCCTCCCAGAGCCGGCTCCAGGGCCGAGGTGTGGCCAGCGTGCAGACCTGGTGCCCGGCTGCTCAAACTTAGCCCCAGTGCAGGAGGCTGGGGAGTCATCCGAAGCTGGGTCCGCTGGCCCAGGAGGAGGCGCCCTCTGGCCCCGGTCGCCGCAGCCATCTGCTTTCGGTTTAATTTGAACTTGGTCTCGGTTGTGGGGGAAGGCGCCCCCCCCTCCGCCCCGCCCTGCCCCGCCCCTCTGCTTCCTCCCCGGCTCTGGCACGGGGGCCACTCTGTGGGCAGAGGAGCAGGAGCGAGCCCAGCAGCGGCAGCAGCGATGGTGAGGGGCCACGCGGGTAGGGTGGGCCGGGCGAGGGGCAGAGGACGAGCAAAGCGGGTGTGACAGTCCTCCGAGGGTGGGGGCGTCCTCCGTGACCGCAGTCCCCCGGGGCGAGGCTCCCGCTGCTGGGGCCGGGCTGGGTCAGACCCTCCGCTGCCCTTGAGCCAGGGAGTTTCGGAAAGTGTGGCCTGAGCCCCCTCCCGGCTGCCCCGCGCGGAGTGAGAGGGACTTGGCTCCACTTTCTGAGCCAAGTGATTGCCAGCATCGGCTTCAGGGTCAGGCTGAGATCCTGGTGGTGGCCACTTACCGGCTCTGTGACCCGGGGCGAGTCACTTCACCGCCCTGAGCCTCCTTTTCCTCCCCCGAGAAGCGGGTCAGCGATACCTGCCCTGCCGGGTCGGTCCGTGGGAGCTTAAAGGAGATAGAATGGCAGAGACCTACCTGCCTGGCACTCCTCCTGAGAAGTGGTAGGTAATGTGATGACCGCCTCAGCCCCCCACCCCCCCCCCTGGGGCTGTGAGGAGTCAAGCCCCGCAGGGGAAGTAGGCACCTGAGCAGATGGGGTGGTTGGAGGTTGAGCCAGCCCGTGGCAGGTTTTTGGGGGTGAAAGAGGAAGGAAGTTGTTTAAAAGTTCCACTGAAGTTATCAGAGTGTGGCAGAGGCCTAACTCCCTTCTCACCCCTATCTGGGGACACATTCCTGAGTTGAGTCATCGCCACTCCGCCACCCTGGCTGCAGATTCTGGCCTCTGCCCTCACTTGCCATCTCCAAGGCAAAGGTGTCAGGAACAGGTGGTGGCAGTGCTGGCCTCCCCTCCCCGTGGGAAGACGGGCCCAGCGGGAAGCAGGCTTGGTGCTTTCAGGTGCTGCTGTAGAGAAGCTGGCAGAGGTGGGATGGAAGGGCCGCTAGCGGTTGCCATGCCTGCATGGCCTCATCTCCGGGGAACTGGAGGCAGGAAGAGGAAGCTGGGCAGGAAGGTAGTGCTGAGCTGTAAGGCCGTGCCAGGAAACTGAGGGAGGCTCTGAGAATGGGACCGAGTCCAGAGCCCACTTCCCAGTGTGCAGGGCAAGGGATCACGCGGGGAGAGGGGTGAGCATTTGGGGAGAAGAAAGAACTCCCGAAATGAAAGCTGAGGGCAGGATAATTTATTGGGGGAAACTGGGAAACTCTGGGACTCTCACAGGTTCACTTGAGGCAAATGGTAGATCAGAGCTTGGGAAGAATAAATTGATCTCCCCTCTCCCCTCCTTTCTCCTATCCCCATTCCTCTGTTCTTTCACTCTTGCCCCTTTCTCTGCCCACAGCTAGTTCTCTTCCTTTTTCCCAGCCCCCTTCCCTACCCGGTCCTTCTTCCTTTCCCTTCTCTTCTCTAATCCATTCAGTCAAATATTTCTTTGTGTTTCCGTTGTGCTGGGCATGAAGATGGATATCAGGGGTGGAATAGGAACAGTGATAGGAAAGATGGAAATTGAATGGATGATGACTTGATTCATTCGTCTTTTAGATGGTCCTCTCTCATGTACTGTCCAAAGAATGTGGGTTTTGGCCTTCTTCATATGCATACAAGTTGAGTTGGCAGCATCCAAAGGCCTGGTGAGGCGTTAGCCAGTCAGCTAAAGCATTTGGCCTCCCTTTGCCTGCATTCGGGTTAGCACACGGATTCAGAATGTGGTCCTTGGAGTCTATGTTGGTTCAGCTCTCAGGTCTTTTCCTCACTGGCTCTGTGACCTTGCACAGGGGCTTTAACCCCTCCGAGCCTCAGTTTCTTATAAAACTGGGATAATAGTACTGTCCTCAATGGATTATTGTGAGGATTAAATGAGATAAAGTGAACTGACAGCTAGCGCAGTGCTTGGCTTAGAGGAGTGCCCATTGAATGGTGGCTGTTATTACTGTCAAGAGGTAAAACCTCAATAGCCTGTAGTGCCTGATGGGAATAAACTAGATGCAGGTTCTCAAAGGCCCATGTAAAGTTCTGTATTTAGGTTAGAAACAATTAAGGGCACACGTTTACCATAAACAAGAGCTGGCTTGGATGTATATTCTGTAAAAATATCTAAAAGATTTTATTGAGCCCCAGTATTGTGTAGTGCTTGGGATCTGACTATTAAAATCGAGAACGAAATTAAAACAGGGAGCCCTAACCGGTTTGGCGTTTGGCTCAGTGGATAGAGCGTCGCCTTGTGACTGAGAGGTCCCAGGTTCGATTCTGTCAGGCATGTACTTGCTTGCGACACATCCCAGAGGGGTGTGCAGAGCAGCTGATCGA